CTGCCCCCTCAGGCCCTGCCCCCTCAGGCCCTGCCCACTCAGACCCCTGCCCCCTCAGGCGCTGCCCCCTCAGGCGCTGCCCCCTCATCCTCCTGCCCCTTTAAGCCCCTGCTCATCAGACCCCTGCCCTCCCAGGCCTCTGTCCCCTTAGTCATCTGCCACCTCAGCCCCCTGCCCTCTTAGATCCCAGATGCCCTCCATCCTTGGAACATCAAGCTTCAGACCTTTAGATCACCTTCCCTTCAGGCCCCAGCTATGTATGATCCCAAAGCCCCCACATCCCTCAGACGCCCTAAGCCATCCCCACCTCAGGCCCTAGTTCCCTCCCTGTAGGACCCCTCCCCTCTAAAACACCCAGGTCCCCTCCTCCTCAGACACAAGGTCCTCTGCCCCTTCAGACCCCCTCCCTCTTTCCCAGGCCCCCTCCCTCCTGGCACAGACCTGGGCATTGCTGGTAGGCTCCAGGAAGCAGAGGCGGTTGCCGAAGCCCTCGGCAGCCAGACACAGCTTGAGTTGCTCCTTGAGCACAGTGGCGCTGCACTGCAGGACCACCTCATCGTCCTGGGGGGACCAAGGGGTCAGGGGTTGCTGGTGGGGCCTCGCTCAAATACCACAGTCACCTCATACTTCAGGCAACCCACCCCACCCTTTCCTTATGAAAAAGATAGTGACCAACAGTACCCGCCCATACAAGCCCATAAGCTGAGCCCTCTGCCTATTCCTTTTTTTTTTTTTTTTTTTTAAAAAGATGACCGGTAAGGGGATCTTAACCCTTGACTTGGTGTTGTCAGCACCACGCTCAGCCAGTGAGCGAACCGGCCATCCCTATATGGGATCCGAACCCAGGGCATTGGTGTTATCAGCACCGCACTCTCCCGAGTGAGCCACGGGCCGGCCCCCCTCTGCCTATTCCTAACATCCCCTTGATATAGGAGCCAGTGTCATCCCCATTTTAAAATGGGGAAATTGAGGCTGGAGGGGAGACATTGATTGCCCAAGGACACACAGCTGTAAGAAGAGGAGTTTGGATTTGAACCCGAGTCCAGCTGGTTCCAAAGGCCTTCCAAGTGGGGTCTGCAAGGTGACCCATTAGAGGGTGGAAAATATGAGCACCTCAAGTTAAATTGCTTTTTTTTTTTTTAAAAAAGATGACCGGTAAGGGGATCTTAACCCTGGACTTGGTGTTGTCAGCACCACGCTCACCAGGGGGCAAACCGGCCATCCCTATATGGGATCCGAACCTGTGGCCTTGGTGTTATCAGCACCACACTCTCCCGAGTGAGCCACGGGTCGGCCCCGAGTTAAATTGCTTTTTAAGCTCATCCTTCCCTAAGGTTTCTCTTTTGCGTACTGTTTTAGTAGTAGCTATCATTTATAGAATGCTTCCTAATGGCACCTGGGTGCAGTGTGAGAGCCTGGACTGGATCCGGGGTGGAGGGGGTAATGCCAGAAGGACAGCATTGAAACGATTGGTGAAAGTTGAATAAGGACTGTGAATCAGAAAATAATATCATATCCATGCTAAATTTTCTGATTTTGTACACTCAATGTTGTTACAATAAAAGAAAAAAACAGTAAATAAATAAGTTCATACATACATACGTAAATTTTCTGATTTTGATAACTACACTCTGGTTTTGCAAGACACTGCCCTTGTTCTTAGAAAACACGCGCTTTAGTATTAAAGGGTTAACGGCATCATATCCATAGCTTGTCTCAAGCAATTCAGGAAGAGAAATATGGAAAGAGAAAGAGAAAAGAAAGATAAAGGAGATATAGCAAAATCTTAATATCTGGGAAATATGAAGGCTATTAGGAATTCTTTAAACTGATCTATGAGTTAGAAATTACTTCAGGATTATGAATTGGTAAATTCTTGTGTGTATGTGTGGCTGGCAAGTTTGGGAATCCAAACCCTTGACTTTGGTGTTATAACACATAAATTAAAATTGTAAATAAAATAAAATGCTTTAAATTCCTTTTCTGTGTGCTAGGTTCCATTCCAAGACCTTCACATATATTAACTTATTTAATCCTCATGACAACACAATGAGATAAGTCCTGTTATATAAACAGGAGAAAACTGAGGCCCAGAGAGGTGAAGTGACTTTCTCAAGGTCACACAGCTGGTACAGGAATAACTGGGATTTGAATACCAATGCTGTGGCTCTGTACACCACACTCTTAAAACACTAGCCCACCTCTCAATGTATTACTATAGTAGTCCATATCTAACATTTATAACTAATAAAAATGTACATGGGGTGCTCAATGTTTTTTCTGATAGGGAGTCTCAGTCAAAAATGATGGAGACCCCAGCTCTTAACCCCAGCTCTTAACCCTTAGCTCTTAAGCAGTGATTATTCTATTTTACTGCAGCAAAAGTAGGTTCAAGAAGGTTAGGTGTCCTGCCTGAGGTCACACAGCTTCCAGCCTTCCAAGCATATCACACAAATATGTCCCCGTACTGGGTTTTGACACACACGGGCAGCTCTCAGTCTATCCATCCAGCTTGGGAGGAGGGAGAGAGGCACAACCTGATGGCCGGAGCCTCCAGGATTGCTCTGTCCTGTGTCTCCTAACCCTGACATCCTGGCACATGCCAGGAGCTTGTGTATCCATAGTAACCATCTAGCTTGTATGTATTAAGAACTTACTGGCTGCTACGCCTTAGTTCTAGGCACTGACTATAAAGCAGCAAACAAAGTAAACAAAAATCCCTGCCTTCAGTGAGCTGACAACCTCATGGTGCAGACAGGCAATAAACAGATAAATAAGTTCATAATTTTCATGTCAGTGATCAGTGTTAAGGAAAAAATAACCCAGAGTGATGTAAGAGGGTGGCTTTTGGGGTGGGGATGACATCGGTGAGGGGGTGAAGTGACAGCGTCTCCAAGAAGGTGACATTTGAGCTAAGCCTTCTCTGAGTAATGAGAAGGAATTGGGCCTGTTCATATCTGGGGGAAGAATGTTCCAGGAAGAGAGGCCGCCTGTGCAAAGGCCTGTGGCTGGAGGGTGCTTGGGGTGTTGAGGACTAGCAAGGGAGACAGGGTGGTGGTGGCAGCAGGAATGAGACGCAAAGTGGGAGAAGATGAGATCAGAGAGATAATTGTATGGGCCCCCTGAGTCTTTATTGTGTGTATTTTTGTCCCTGTTTTCCAGATGAGGAAATTGAGGCACAGAGGAAAAAAAATAAGAACCACTTGCCCAAAGTTAGGAAGCAAGCAAATGGCAAAGCCAGGATATAAACCAGAGACAAAGGGCCTAATCATCACATCATTGATTCTCAAACTTTCTCTGGCATCAGAATAAAGGGGAGGTTGTCTGGCATCTGTTAATAATATAGCTTTCCTGCCACCCAGTTCCCCCACCCTACCACCACCACCACCAAGAGCCTGATTCTGTGGATCTGGAGTCAACAGAGAATCTGCACTGTAACAGAGGAGGAGGTTCTGACTTGGGACCAGGCTTTGAGGAACCCCCACCTGGGCAGGGCTGGAGGTCACCACCTATCAAAAGGAAATGAAATCAGTTTGGGGTGCTGTGGTCAGCATGCTTAAAAAATGAAATAAATAGAGCAAGAACAGAAAATAGCAATATGCCATCATGTTGTAAAGACAATTCACATTTTATGAAAGTTGTTTCAGTTAAAAATAGGTGTGTGTGAATGTTCATGGGTGTTGTCCATAATACCAAAAATTGGAGACAACCCAAATGTCCATCAGCAGGTCAGCCAATAAACAAACTGCAGTGTACTCAATACTGCTCAGTAACCCAAACTCTCGATACATGGTGCATAGATGAACATTAAAAATATCATGCTGGGCCAGCCCGGTGGCGCACTTGGTAGAGTGCAGCGGCACTCCCGCCGAGGGTTCGGATCCCATATAGAGAACGGTCCGCTCACTGGTTGAGCGCGGTGCGGGCGCAACACCGAGGGTTGCGATCCCGTTACCGTTCACAAAAAAAGACAAAAAGGAAAAAATATATATATCATGCTGAGTGTGCTAGCCAGTTAGCTCAGTTGGTTAGAAAGCAGCGTTGTAACACCAAGGTTAAGGGTTTGGTTCCCTGTACCAGCCAGCCACACACACACACACACACACACACACTATTGTGAGCAAAGGAAGAAAAACAAGCATACTTGTATATGAAACACTAGATGTGACTAATGGAATCTATAGTGATATAAAACAGATGGGCAGGATGATTACTGCAAAGAGCATGAAGGAACTTTCCCAGGCAAAGGACATGTTCTATGCCTGGATTATGATGGTGGTTACATGGGCGTGTACAGCTTATCAAAACCCATTGAACTATAACACCTAAAATGGGTACAATTTATTGCATGTGAATTACACCTCAATAAAGTTGATCTTTATGATGTCTATGTACACGTGCATGTACTAGGGCACAACATAGAATATGTTTCTTACTGGTGGGATGTGGCGCAAAAAGTTTTGAGAAAATCACCACACAACTTCAATAACATTCAGAAAAACAGACCCAGTCTGGGGCCAAAAGATGCCAGGGCTGGGCCTCTGGAACCCTAACACTGGCTACCTTGGCCAGTTTGAGCCCAGTTTTTCTTTGGTGAAAGTAGGAGGGCTGGGCCCCAGGGCCATCCAGTGATGCCACTTCCTGGCCTTGACCTTGAGTGATTCTACCACTCCAGCATTGGTTTCCCTCAAATCTCCCAGGGAGATAAAGATAGGGCCCTACCTCAGAAGATAGGGCAGCAAGGATATAATTAGATGCCTCAGGAGGCCAAGGCCCTGGGCACAGGGCCTGGTGTAGAGTGACTGCTCAGGGGCTGATGACCATGGTCATGGTCTTATTAGGGCTGGAGAGGAGGGGAGGGCCCAACCCATGGTGTCTACTAAGGGGCTGGGGTTGGGGCAAGAGTCTAGGCTGAAGCTAGGCTTGGTCCCGTGGCCTCACGTCCAGCTGTCCCCATCTTTCACTACCAGCCCCAGCTGTTGGTTCCTCCCTCCCAGGAAACCAGACCCAGCTCGCCATGGTTCTATTCTGGGGCCGGAATGCTGTGTCAGCATTTCCTGCATGGCCCCACAGCCCAGGGGGAGTAGAGGGGCTGATGCAGGGTCAGCAGGCCTGGCCTGGAGGAGAGGACATCCCCTCCCATACTCACACCCCCACACCCTGCTAAACCTCTGGGAGGGGAAGGTGGGAAGGACTAGGAGATAGGCAGCCCCTCCCCCATCTTGTCCCCGCCCTGTCCCCTGCCAAGGCCCCAGAAAAGCAGGCTATTCTGGGAGGGACACCTGTTGTTCCAATTCTCATCCCTGCCCCCACCTGGGGATCAGAGATGCAGGGAGAGACAGAGCTAAACAGACAAACACAGAGGTTCTGAAGCCAAGGAACAAAGACAGAGACAGAGACAGGGAGACCAAGGTGGAAAAAGAGACCGAGAGGGAGAGAAAGAGACACAGAGACAACCCAAAGAGACAGATAGGGAGCAGAAACACCCAGAGACCCTCAGAGACCATTAGCATCCATATTTGACCCTCCTCCCCAAAACAAAGGGGGAAAGAAAGATCCAGAACCCGAGAAACCTCTGGGAGACCCTCAAGGGCTGGGAGTTGAAAGGAGTTGTCTACTCCAGCCTACCCCAGCCCCCTTTCCAAGAATTCAAATAGGTCAGTCTGCAGCAAGGAGAAAATTAGGGCTGGGGGGGGGGCAGCTAAATTAAGCCCAGGAATTAGAGCTACCTTCCCCAGTGCCTGTTTCTAGGGTGGTGGGAAGGGGTGCTACTTCAGCGGTCCCCCTTGTCAGGGACAAATCGCTAACGTCAGAAGAGAGGGCGGCCAAAAATCGTCCTCCCCACCCTGTGCTACCAAATTCTGTTAATCCTCTGTGGTGAGAAAGGTGGACGAGATTAAAAGAAACAGAGATACAGAAAGAGAAAGAGTGACAGTCACCTGAAATGACAAAGGAAGAGGCCTCGAGTCTCAGAGACCACCAGCAAGCAGTACAGAGACATTGGAAGACATGCTCGAGAGATAGCCCCAGAGACCCCTAACCGAGATACGCACCGTCCGCAGGAACTGGACCTCGTCCTCGCCTTCTCCTCCGTCACCCATGATGTCGAGGCCTGAGGAGCCGGGGCCGAGGTCAAGAAATAGGNGGACACGGAAAAAGACAAAAAAAAAAAAAAAAACTTGTTATTACATTTCATTTAGTTCTCACAACAATCCTGCTATTATTATTCACGTTGTTTGGAGGAGGAAATAATGTGTGGTGCCTACAATGTATAGTTTTAAGGACATGACCAAATAAATCATGTAGCCCACACAACAATTTTGTGAGGTCACTACTCTTACAGCGCCCGTTTTACAGATGAGGAAAGCGGAACACGGAGAGGTGGAGTGACTTGCCCAAGGCCACACGGAGGTCTGCAGAGCCAGGGATTTGAATGGATTCTTAACCAGGCCCTCTCAGCCCTGGCCCCAGATGCTTTACTGTCTCGATATTTCAATATTTGCATAAAATCTCCAAATTATAAAGCCCACTTCCCCAGGGCCGTCCCTCGCCCCAGCCACCTGAGCCACTGGGGGCCACAAGCTGGGCAACCCCTTTATGCAGATGAGCGTCGTAGGCTTTCTGTACTGGGGAGCATGAAGCCCCGTCACCAGTTCCTTCCTGTTCCTGGCCTCGCTGGGCACCCAGCAGGGCAGCTCCTCAGGAGAGCCTCTACAGTTCCCTATAACTGGCAGCTGTGGGGCTGGGAGGCCCAGAGCAGGGCGCCACACTCATCCGGGCCAGCAAGGTTACTTCATGACTCCCGGCCTCAGTTTTTTCATCTGTCAACTGGACTAATTAGAAATAGTCCCTATCTTCCGGGATCATGGGGAAAATTCCAAGAGGAAATCAATTAGAGCTTACACATGGTAACTGATTGATACAGGGATCTATTAAAATTGTCATTATTGGGCCGAGCCCGTGGCGCACTCGGGAGAGTGCGGCGCTGGGAGCGCAGCGACGCTCCCACCGCGGGTTCGGATCCTATATAGGACTGGCCGGTGCACTCACTGTCTGAGCGCGGTGTGGGCGACACCACGCCAGGGGTTGCGATCCCCTTACCGGTCACGAAAAAGACAAAAAAAAAAAAAAATGTCATTATTAACATGTAGTGGTATATTGTATATTAAGTTATATAAAACAATATCCTCTAGTTCAACAAAATTATATATAAAATGTTATTCAATGTATAATAGGTTGCTAGATGTTACATAGTTAAATATTGATATGTTAACACAATTGTAATAAACAGCACATAGTTTGTACCATATTACTGAATAATATAATTCAATTATGCATTATATAATGCATAATTATATAATTCCATATTTAGGGTAATATATTCTATATACAATAATATGTTATATCTATTATACACTATATAATACGTATAATTTTTCCTTAAAATTTTATATATAATGTACAATTATTCTGTGTCATTGTGCATTATATCATAAGGTATTAATAGTGTTTCTTATTTTTGTCGGTCATCATTATGTGTTGCTGTGTGGACACATGGTCTGTCTGTGGCTGTAGTGGCTTTGCAGGACTCTGGTGACTGACTGCATCTGTTTATGGACCCACCCCTCTGGGGGGACACCCAGCTGCCTCCAGCTCATTGAAAATAATATTGCAATGTCTCCTTATGGAGCCAAGGGAGAATGCCATGGTGTGCACACCCGGGAGCTAATTGCAGAATGACATATCCATGCACACACTTAATTGGCCTAAGTAGTGCCAGGCAGCCCTCAGTAATGGCTGCCCACTATCAGTGTGCGAGGGTTCCCAGGTCCCTACATCTCCAATTGCCATTTGTCACTTCAGCTTCTAATTTTTGCCAGACCTATGGGATGACTCACTGTCATCTTAATTTGCACTTCCATGATCAGGTGCCAATAACTTCTGGCATCTTCTCAGGCACCTGTCAGAGTGTTGGGTTTCCTTGTTACCTACTCATACTCTGTCCACTTTTCTATCAGAGTTGCTGTCTTTTTTTCTTGTGATTTTCAGTTGTGCCTTTTACATTCTAGGTTTAATTTCTTGTCGATTTTAAATATTGCAAATACCTTTTCCCCTTCTGTCGCCTGATATTTGTCCCATGGTGTCTTCATTAAAAGAAAATCCATGTTTGCATGTTATCAGGT